TAGACCCGACAAGCACGACACAAACGGTTCCTATCACCACTTCTTCAACAAATTCATTCGAACAATATACTGTTCAAAGGCAAAAACGTCAGTTGATCACACAGCCAATCACCGAAAAAACAAATTATAGCCCCGTGAAATCAAACACCACACTTGTCGAGATACCGATTAAAGGAGCGCTAGTGATCAGTATGGATTCGACTAAATACAAGGAAGTATATGACCATTTTAAACGGTTCAAACTGTTCACCCATCTACCGCGTGGGATTGAAAGAATCATCGGGGTAAATGGATTGTCGATAAATTTACATGGTTTTCTGGAAAGCAAAAGACTTTCGCAGGACATAGTCAATCAAATCATTATTCAAGACAAAATTGTGGGTGGAGAGTACTTGACGTTCGGTGCCCTCGGTTGTTTAGAATCACATGTTTTAGCCTGGCGGCGTGTGGTACAACTGAATGTATCGATGCTTATTTTTGAAGATGATATCAGACTGAAGGAGGAGTTTGATTTAATATTCCCTTATCTCCTCTACTCTCTACCTCAAGACTTTGGTTTGCTTTATTTTGGGAATCTGATTGGTAAAGCTCTGAAGCCATCACTACTGTCATTTAATGATTTATTATGGTTGATGTTAGGTAACCATTGGGGTACTTATGCCTATCTCATCAGTCCAAAAGTAGCTAATATGTTCCTCAAGGGAATCTATCCCATTCACCATCAAATAGATTCGATGATGATAAGCATGGCAAAATCCAACAGATTTGATGTCTATATGTCCAAGAAGATATTGGTACAAACAGACAATACATTTAGAAGAAAATCCGCTACGCAGAGATTTTTGATTGATCCGATTATTATACCAAATATATTTCATTTTATTTGGTTCGGATCTTCACCCATTTCTCTTCTTCATCAACGTAATCTGGACCTCTGGAAGGAGATGCATCCTAGTTGGGAAATCAAAATGTGGAATTATTCAAATCTATTTCCTTTGTATAATCAAAAACGATTTGATCAAACAAATTTGTTGAAACAAAAAAGCGACATAGCACGGTATGAAATCATCTTTCAATATGGTGGTGTTTACCTGGATGTGGACTTTGAACCATTAAAAACCATTGAACCATTGCTACATGGTATCAAGGCATTTGTAGCGTGGGAAAGTAAAGAATTCGTCTGTAATGGCGTATTTGGGGGAATCCCAGGTCATGAGTTTATCAAAGATTTAGTTCTCGATTTAGATAGTAACTGGATGACATTTGTTAATGGAACGGTAAACCAACAGACGGGACCCCACTACATGACCAAACACCTGAAGAAAACAAAGCTCACAATGGAAAGTGGTTTTCAAGCATTTCCCACACACATCTTTTTTCCCTATCCTTGGTATCAAGATGATCCAGGGTTTTATAATCCATTATCGTTTGCCGTGCATCATTTTAGTGGAATGAATAGAAAAAAAGTGTTAATCCATGATTCTCAAAAATAAACTATGCGTTTCGCATATTGTCTTAGATTGCTCCCCATCGTTTGGTTTCAGTATCGATCTTCCATGGTTGAAGATCTTCTTTTCCGCCTTTTCTTGCGATTTTTCACGTATGTAGAAATATACAGTTCATCCTACTATTTTATTTTAAAAACTGTGACTTTGAGTAATACATCACAATTGAAAACCTGAAGTATTAAATAGAGTTTACGATACAGCTCCGCCTTCAGTTCAGACGAAGGGCTAGTGTACGTGCATGTAGCCAATACATCAGTGCACCATTTCTCTTTTGCCTTCATTTACGATTCCTTTTTCCTATTGAGAGCCGTGATCCATATTCTTTTAATCTTCTAAGATCCTGTGAGAGAATAGTATTTTCTGTGCGACGACTTCGCTGGCAAAGTTTATAATGCCCGAAAATATTCAAAAAACGATAGTTAACTATGGAACACTTCTCATAGGAAGAGTCATTATCAGAATGTTTGAGAGCAGCCTGTTTATCTGAAGTGACAGTAAACTGTGCAACGAAGACGCATGTTTGATTCGAAGAATGAGGGGATGAGTTGGTCTGTTTGTGTCTGAATGTTAATCGCCACACGTAAGTAGGTATTTTCACAAGGTTCGTTTGCACAAAACAATTATTAAAGAAAGAAAATGCTTAGCAAAAGTAAAAAGTGATAAATACTTCTGTATAATAATCCTACGTATAAAAAAAATATAATAAAATCTACCTGTGATGTTGGGAGTTGCTCTTCCGCTGACTGATTCATGTGATGAAAGTACGCATACAGCAATGAGACTGATGAAAATAAACGTATGAAAATGAAGAGAGAATCTTCCAATGATATAGGCATTTTCGTTATTTGTAAAAAGGCTTTACTGGAGAAAAAGAGTGATTAGAAAAAGTAGAAAGTGCACACCTGTGCATGTAGGCAGTTCGTCTTCCGCTGGCCGATTCATCCGATGAAAGCACGCACATAACTGAGCCCTTCGTCTGAATGAAAGTCTGAGTTGTATCATAAACTCACTCTGTTCCTCAAAGTTTCC